ACAATGAAAGCATGAAATAAATATAAAAAAAGGCAGCTCCGCGCGACGGGAAAAACGTCATAATTCACGCTTGATTATTATTCATCATCCTCATCGCAATAAAAGCGCCAGGGTTTCCCATGGTCTCGATTCCGGCGCCAAACCCGGGAAACGGAGCATCATTATTGTTTGTCCTGGCATCATAAACACGGGGGTGTTTTTGAAAAATTGTTTCATTCGCCGCGGCCTAATGATCGGCGGCCGGTTTTTTGACGGCTCAATTCGCGCGGGAGACGCTAATTATGCCGTTGCCCCGGTGGCAGCGAACACGTTCTCCCAACCCCGCACAGGGTTGGCTCAAATAAATGGCACGATGAAAAAAAGAGAAGAAGAAGAGCCAAAATCAGCCTTTAGTATACTGACCTGATCCTTTGTTGCTTATGTGGCAATAAAAAAACAGGATAGACCCAAAATAATCGGAATTTGGCAGTAAATTCAGCACACTGATCACGGGGATGAGTACAGTAACTTATCCACATGATCAGTGTGCTGAATCTACTGCCAAATTACTGCCAAACTGTTCCTCAGTCCACCTTTTCTTTGAAAAAAAAAAGAGCCCCCAATGTCTAGGCCTGATTCTTTGTTACTCATGTGGCAAAAAAAAAAAACAGGATAGACCCAAAAGAATCAGAATTTGGCAGTAGATTCTGTCATGGGTCTATTGGATCCCAGACAAAGGAATAGAATTGTGCAGCCATCAGAATGCAAGTTTTGAATAAGAAATCAAACTTTTTTCAGAGGAGTTCATTCTCATTGCCCAGTTCATCAATTGGCTGTTAATTCAATGGTTTTAATGGCAGAGTTAACGGTTAGCTCAGAATATTGAATGCAGTAATTTAAAGTTAAAAGGCCCTTAACACTAGGTTCTGACTTCTCCTCTCAAAGAGGAATGAAGGCTTTTATAGCCAGGTGCTTGGACTGGGTCAGGAAGAAATCAGGTGATTTCTTCCTGGCTTAGGATTGGCCAATTCAGGCAAAATCAAAGAAGTGATGACCACTTCTTGTCCTTGAGTGAGGCTCATTGAGTCTTGCAAAAGCAGGATTTTTGGGAGGCTCACTGGCCTTGGAAATCCAACAAGTTTTGGGGTCCAGTTTCAACTGGATGCTGGAGCTGCGTTGCTTTGGGATGCAACAGATTCAGCACACTGATCATGGGGATAAGTTACTGTACTCATCCCTATGATCAGTGTGCTGAATTTACTGCCAAATTCTGATTCTTTTGGGTCTATCCTTTTTTTTTGCCACATGAGCAACAAAGGATCAGGCCTAAACATTGGGGTTTTTTTTTTTTAAAGAAAAGGTGGACTGAGGAACAGTATTGATGGACTATTCTCTTTATACTGGTGGAGTCTCTCTGCAACAAAATATAAGAGAGCAGAAAATAATTGTTGTAGAGACTTTCATTGTAGAGAGCCTCAAAATACTGTACAGGTGGTACCTTGAAATTTGACATCCCATAATTCAACCATCCCATAATTCAACCATCCCACAATATTGGATGGTCAATTTTGCTGGGGTTTTGACCAGCAATTCAACCTGCAGAGAGACTCAAAATGTCAAATTTTATATCAAAAGCATTATAATTTGACATTGTCTTGCAATTTGACTGCTTCACAATGCAACCCTTACTCAGCAACAGATCATGGTCAAAGTGCAGGGCACCACATGTAAAATATTTACTTGATTATACCATATGCAGTATCAATTAAGATGTACACCAGAGTTTCCAGTCAATTAAAAATAAATGCAATTATAATCCTGAGTATGGCATACACCCAATTTTTAGTAGCTCTAAAACTACACAATGTCAAAAATACAAATGCCCAAACTTTAATTTAGACACGTCTTGGAGCTGCTTCATTCTACTGATTTTCAATTATTTCCCTAAATTTTGTTTTTCTTTCAAGAGTTATCCAAAATTTGCCATCAGAATCAAACAAAATGCTTGCCTGACCTTTAAAAACTTTTCTTAAGTATACAACCACATTTGAAGCGTGCCCCCTTTTTCTTTGCCATGTAAAAAAAAATAACGTTATACTTTTGGTGGAGTGAATTTGGTTAAATTTAGTGCTAATTATGTTGGTAGTTTTTGGCTGAACAGTTTAGATTTGCTTAAAGTGAGACACTTAGATTTTTGTTGGATTTAGAAGGTTGGGTTTGATCAAATACTGAATTCACTTAAGTACCAAATTCACCATTTTCCTGAAAAATTAAAACAGAAAAAAGAGGCGCCTATGGTATGAAGACATTGATTTTTTTAAGCAAAAACTATGAAAGCAGAGGTGTTACAAAAATGATTCTCTATGTTTGAAATTAATTTGCTTATGTTCAGCAGGTTAGGTCATCAATGTGCTCATACAAGTTATACATTTTTCCTCATGCATAATTATTCATTCTTGCAATTCAAATCCGTGCTCCTTCATGATTATGCTTTTTTAAAATCATAATGGCTTGATTTATGTGCTCTTTGCTTGTTTGGGAGTTTTGTTCATGCAAAATGTTCTTTTTATATAGTAGCTGATGATCGTTTCGTTTTATCTCATGCCAGCACTATGTTTCACAAAAATCTTTTTTTTTCAGTTCAAAAAATTAATCTCATAGAAAATATTCATGGAAATTTCTTTGAACCTGTATAAGAGCAGTTTTCATAAGAAAATTATGCCTAAGGTGAGGTTTTCAATTAATGGCACTGCTTAGTTATGGGATATTCTCTGGTTTTCAACATAAAACCACGGAGTTAGGCTTTTCCTTCGAATTTTATTTCACACAGAGAACACATTCAAACCAAAAAGGAATTAATGCTATGCTATATATTATTCAAACTATGGAAAATATTTGAATTAAAGCTACACCGAAAAACCTTACCCAAATCGCTAAAGAAAAAATTATCCATGACTACGGGAAAAAATGAGACTTTTTTAATCGACGTCATAAAATTCTCCAGATGAACAAATCCAATACAGTTCGAATTTCAGCTCTGAAAGTGGGCCTCAGGATATTTTCAGCGGAATTGCATTTCGTACTAAAGTATAGGACCGAATTCTTACTCATCTGTCGGAAATTCGGAATCATGGATTTAAGATTGAAAAAAAAGAGTAGAAAGAAATTCCTCCAGGATCGCCCACGATGAGAACGTTCGGAAACGTTTTCGATTTTCTATTCGAATTCGGGGTATCCTGCTGGTCAAATCTGCGGAATGAATCGCAAGAGGAATTGAGAATATTGATTGAAACTTTTATATTCGACGATCAAATTGGGTTTTGCAAAGCGCAATGAATAACGGGCTTTTTTTGTTTTTCCTGGGTCACCCTTCATAAGGAAATTCAGGAAGGCTCATCCACCGGAATTACGCCTTTCGCGGATGAATTGCTCTCGCAGTCATTAATTTCCAATTTCCCAACAGCTTCATCCCATTTTTCAAGAAATGTAAAATTTACCAAATACAAGCGTTAAATTAACAACGCAATTTCCACCTGCATGCGATCGTCAGCGAGAAATGTGATCTTTTGCGCCGTTTCCC